GTAATGCATAGGGAGAAATTATGGAACCACACACGTGCTCCCAATGATCCATTTAAACTGCTGTGTGCCCTTATTTTTCATTTGGGACTGACAAAAGCATACTGCAGTGTTCCTTGGCAGACATGAAAAGTATTTACCAGCAGTGTTTTGCTCCCATCATGCTTTGGTCAGGTTGACTGATACAGCCTTTCAGCTCAAGGTCAGGTCACTTGGAAGGTCTACAAGATAACCCACATCACAGTATACTTTAATTGCAGTGAATCAGAGATCTTCATTTCCCACAGCTGCTAATTGTGACAGCTTCAAAGAGACTTATCCAGTGGTAAAATAAAAAAATTACTATAACTACTACCAGGGAAAAATTACTGCAGCCTGCATGAATGACAATGACAGAGCTGCAATTTAACCTTGTGTAAGTTGCATAGAGCTGCAGAGAAATGAAATCCTTTCACTGTTGTGCAGCAGCAGCTCTTCGTTCTTTGCCACTTTCATTTTGTTACTGCAGCAATTCCCATTGAGTCTCACACATTTGTTCTTATTCCCTTTGGGCAGGAAAACAGCTTTTACAAAGCTTTATCACTATTATTTTACTATTTTCCATGTTAGTAACCACCTAGGAGGTGGTTTCCTTCCCCCCATTATCAAATCATTAACTAGAAATGTCAGATAACCCTCACTATTCAAGTCTGTAACCTAGGTCTGTGCAGCAGAAGGGCTCCCTACCAAAGGACTGCACACAAGACTTAAATCACCTGCAGTAACCAAAATCCCCTGTATCTGATCCTCTCCTGACACCCAGTTATTAATGCAATGCACATAATTTTACTAAAAGAAGGTCTGATGGAAAAATTAGATAAAAGATACAAGCACTACTGAAGGTGGCTCAATATCTATATTACTTTCAAGAGAACAAAGAGTGCTTAGAACACTGCCTATTTTCCAAGATAACTCAGGAGCAAATGTTTTAAAGGCAAGAAATATGCACTTTCTACCTTACAGCATATTTCACTCTGAGTTTTATTTTAAAAAATTCCAACTGTGAAAGGCAAGACTATCTTGTAGGATACAATCTCCTCAGGGCAGGGTTCTTGGTTTAATTTATAACTTGTTCAGTACCAACGTGTGGGTGCTTATAGAAAAATAAATAGTAATAAAAAACCTATTTGGGCAATCTAGACAGATTGCTTATATGAATTTGTAGGCTGCAACAAGGGTGAAAACATTAGCAATGAGCAGCTAAAAGCAAGAACATTATTAACCAGTTTGCTAATACTTAATGACTATACGATGAAGGTGTTTTGTAATTGAGAAATTGTAGATTAAGCCACACAAGTCTAAAGTTCTGCTGATGACATGGTTTCTGAAGGCATGACAGTCCTGCACTCTCCCTCCTAATGCCACAGACTGAAACCAGAGGCAAGCTGGAAAAGCAGCTCCCCTCCTTAGTTAACATCTGGTCCTGACAGACACCAAATTCTGTTTTTCTCAGAAAGTGTTTGCAATGTGTGCTAGGGGAAATGTAGAATAAAAAAAAAGGATAATAGCCTTAGAAAATACCCTAAAGCTCTGGTAGGAATGCAAGTGAAATGTCTCCTCCATTTCTTTAAAGAAAACCAAACATCTATTCACAGCTGCTGAGGAATTAAAATAATTTAAACTAATAATCCAAGGAAGAAATAGCCATTTCATGCTATAACAAAGCACAGGCATACTCACAAATCAAAAAACTGGCCATCAACATCCAACTCCCATAACCACCTCAAATCCCAGCTCTATGCAACATTTAATCAGCATACAGTATTTGTACTGTGTTTTCAGCCTCTATTCAGCTACTGAGTCTATAGCCACCTTTGCAGTTCCTCTGTATATCACACCTCAGAGGCTTGAATTATTTTGCCATACTTAGTGGTAAAACCTCTTGGATGATCAAGCTGCAGCTCTTTTCTATCCAACTGCGTATCTGACAGCATTAGCTCAATCCAGCATCAATAAGAGAAATTTCCTCCAGAGATCTTGTGACTCATAAACTGATCAGCATGACAGCCTCTTGTTCTCTCCAGCTTCTTCACAGTAAACTCATTGTTTATTCATTTAACTACACAACCACAGAAAATGGTCAGAATAAGAAACAGCTGCATACAGAAGTTAGTTTTGTGTAAGCTTTCTTCTCACTTCGTAATTGCTGGTGTGCTCCAGGTAGCCATCAGACAGATGAGCTGTACTGCTGCATTTCCCCTTTCAGAAACCAGGCTTCTGTAGCCTTTGCCCACCCTTTATCCCACATCAGAAAAACAAATCTTTTAGCATGGCTGGAACTAGATAGGTAGGGATTTCCTGATTAATAGTGCCTTCATTGTTCTTGTAATGAACGCTGGTACTCTCTCTGGAGGTATCTTATCTCTGTCAATGCTTAATCCTCTGATTGTATTTCTCTTCCCCTCTTATGGACACATACTGTTTAACTTGTGTAATCAGACAATACTATCAAACACACAAACTTAGGTAGGCACAAATAATTCACACAAACAACACTGCTAGCTCCCACATTTTCCATGTTTCAACTGCACCTTCCACATCCATATGCCTCAGGAAGTTACAAACTAGCAAGAAAAGCAAATAGAAAATCCACACAACTCCCACCAAGTTGCCCCATCTGCAAATCTCACTTTTTGCATTAAGGAACGTTCAGTTTGGGAATCCCATTCAAGCTGCAGATGTGGCACTAAAGGCAGGTTAGAAGTTGCTATAGTAAGAGTCTCAAATAATTTTGGGTGTTTCAGATGCACTTCATGGCTTAAATAAGCTCAGAAACTCTAAAGCAGCCATTTCAGAGTAACACCAAAAGGTACTGTAAGCAGGAGAACAGGTTTTTCTGTACATGTTTCTGACTCAGTGGCAGGAGTGGTTCCACCTAGTCTTAAGGCAACTAATCTATTGTAAACATGGAAGGAATATTCAGAGCGATTAACACACTTTCAGTTGTATTCTTCTGTTGCTCTAACCACATGACTGCCTCTGTTTCATCTAGGAAAGTTAGCAGGAAAAATGATTAGAAAAAGAGGCCCTTGTTGAAAAAAAAGTGTTAAGCATGCAAGAGTGAGATCAACCACCTTTCCAAATGACAGTGGCACATGAAATGTATTACACTATTTCAGACTTTGAGATGGCTTGGATAATGGCTTCACTAATATGTCCTTAAAATGCAAATTTTTTATAGCATCACAGGTCTCCTTCAGTTACAATATAAACCCTGAAGGCTGCACCCATCTTCCTGAAGACAATTCTAGCTCACATTAGCATATAATGGAGGTTCCTGGAGACAACTGATTGCTGCATAGGGATCGATGCCTTTAGGAAAAAGGAAAACGCAGATAGATACTTCAAGATATAAATTCCAGTTTAAATCCACTCTATACCCCTAGTGACTGCAAGTTATTGTTAAGTGATGACTCTTATCTACTTAGCTGTAGCATCAATCTATGACTTAGCTACATAATACTCCATCAATCCCATCAGAAACTTTCCCAGTTGGCATACCCATTTGGCTCTCAAAATGTGCCTACTAATTAATGGAGAGTAGGACCAAAACTATTCTTTTACCTTGCAGGTCTTGCATGTTACAACTTTTATGTTGTTACAACACCATACTAGCAAGGTATCAAGGAAAATGTCATCGACATACACAACATCTTCCCACAGACAATGGGATACCTTTTATAATTAGTGCAAGAACTGGCTGGTACCTCACTGAACTACAGAGAGATTGCTATGAAGATGTGTACCAATGTATTAATTCCACACCTCAGTTATCCCATCTGTAGAAAGTGAATAAGTAACATCTGTTTTCCCAGGAATGGCATAGGAATCATCAATCCATGATGGCCAAATGCTTTGAAATCCTAACATGCCAACCATTTTCCCTCTAACGCTTCTGTTTCATCACTCCTCTTGCAAAAACGGAACATGAAATAACACGGTCATGATGTTGTGAAGAAAGCAAATTTCACACCACATCGTTAAGTAAGATAATGTGGTGTAGTCCTACCACTTCCACTGGAACTGGAAGACCCTCATCTAGAGTCTTCGCGCAGACTCTGCATTCCAAGAAAGAGGAAGTCCAACAGACGAGGGCTAGAAGACTACAGAAAGAATATCTAGGTGGGGTCTAAAAAAACATGACTTATATTGAACAATTCTTAAGAACTGTTTTTCTGGCATAAGGAAAAGAGAAATCCTCAAGGGAGTCAAGACACTTTATGAGCAAAAGGGAGAAAGTGCATGGCAAAATGTATTTTGGTATGTGGTTGAGAGGGCAAAGGATGTACAGGGCATGAATAATGCAATGTATAACCTTTAAGTGGCTAGCAGATTGCCACTTTGGAACACGTTTCTTCTATCTTCCCTCCCTGGTATGAAACTGTCAGTCCATGAACACATTATGACACACTATCATGTGGTTAAGGACAGAAAAAGTTACAGTATTTAAAATCAAGTTCAAAAATTGTCTTTTTCCCACGGCATGTTCCTAGATGTCGGAGTAAATCTGGAGGGTTAGCAGCGAAATTATTATATTGGTGTCAAATGATTTTCTTAATGCTTTCTATTTCTATATAACTTTTCAATGCAGGACCTTAAAGTACTGAAAACCACCACAGTCCTAAAGGTGAGAATTATCACTGTATTATAGATTAAAAAAAACAAGACAGACTAGTTATTTGGCTAATTCTTTAACACAGTCAGGTTTGTGGACATGGAAGCTCAGCTCACAGTAACAACCTAATCATGTATAAGACCAGGACCAAACATACACACTACAAAGCAAGGAAGGAAAACTGAGACTCTTGATTCTTATATGTTACTGTTACACCCAGACTTCCTGCTAAGAATGAACACAGAAGAAAGAGAAAGGAGAGTTCCATGGCCAAATCCCATGTCCCAGAAACAAAGCCTTCAGTGAAAAGCAGTACACAGAGAGTGAACAGTGAAGATGGAAAAGCAGAAAATTGCAGAACTTAAAAAACTGAGTTATGACAGTAATGCCTGTTCACCTCATTCTCACCTAAATCTGCTGTCTTCAGACCTAGCCTGAACTGGAGTGTCTTTCCATCCAACACCGTGGAAAGGTATTTTGCATTCCACTGCAGGGCTGGCCAGTCACCAACCATGTCACAGAAGACTGCAGGCTGCTGTAGAGACATCACAATTTCCTTGGTTTTCTCAGGAGTAAATGGTTTGACATCTTCACCTATGTAAAGAAAAAAGAACCAGCTATAGAGATATGACTTATCATACATGAAATGTTGCCTACCATCTCCCACGGCATAGGAAACATTAAGAACTAACACCTCATCTGTTTTATTACATTTGCAGATTTTTTTAAAGATGTACTGCAAACACTGAGAGAACACTCTTACATTAAAGTTTAAAGCAGTGTATTAGCACACAAAATGTAAAACAAAAAAAACCCCAACAAAAATAGGCACGTGCTTAGAATTTTCACCTGTACCTTAGGCAATAAAACACTGAAGCCAAACTGTTTAGAATTAGACTAACAATAAAATAAACATGCAAATAATGTCCAGAGTTTAGAGAACATAAATTTTATGAGTAACAGTCTTTCTGCATGGGATTCTTTCCAAAAGTGTAGAGCACTGTCAGAGATAGCAAACCAGTTCCTGTGCATTTGATTTAAACCAAGGAACAGTAGCACAACCAAACCAGCAGGTATTTTAAAAGTGTATTAAAATTTCATTAACAGAATTTTAGCAAAAGAAAACTGTGCAGACTAACCCAAGATTTCCATTTACTCCTTTGCTGTTTAGAGATTTATATGCCCCCCCTGAAACTGTCAAGCAGATATGCTGGGAACCTTGAATAAACTCAGTACTTTTAGAACAACTTTTCTTTAGGGACATATTGAGAAGGAAATTCTGTTTTTTAAAAAGAATAATGTAACAGCTCCATAGAGCTGAAGAGGTGGACTATAGCTTCAGATGATAAAAAAATCCATTAATTATTTTAACCTCTACTGAAGTTAACTCATCCAGAATTTGTATCTGTATAATGCTTAAGACCTAACATACTGAATTGATCCATATGGCTCCCCACAACTCATTTAAACCAACTCAATCCAATCACTCTATTTAGGGGTTAAATTATGGTCTGGCTTTTTAGTTTTCTACATTAAGCTACTATCTTCATACAGATTCAGTGGGAGGTATCAGGGCTGGGGTTTTCTACAGTCAAGGGGTCTCTTCTCCCATAGACTTCCAGGAAAACTCAATCTCTCTTTTCACTCATGAAAACTCCATCGTGAAGCTTTTAAAGTCAGGACCTTTTGATACTTTAGCTTCATGGAGCATAAAATTTTTAAATGCCTTCTCTTTCTTAAGGCAGATGACAGGAGGGAGTTTGGATTTTGGTTTGTTTTCCACATTTCCTCTCATACGCAGAGCAACACTTGCCAGGATGGTGTTGCTGTGACATGGAGATGTCTATGACACTTGGCCTTCAGTCTCGCGCTCCTGCAACTTGCACAACCAGGACATAAGGAGGCCTCACGGGGACCGTATGTCTCACCATATGGTCTTCCCTACCCTGGAAAGAGGCTCTGGGACTTTCTGAGCAATAGGTTAGTGTACCTAGAGGGAGCAAGTCCAGAGAAAGCAGAAAGACCATATGCAGATACAAGGGCATGTGCTGGTGCAGCCACCTGGAGCTGGATGGGTCATAGGAAAAGGTCAAAGCTCAGCATGTATTTTCACAGTGATTCTGTTCAAGGGCTAAGATAAGACTCAGTCCAGATCTGAATACTCCCAGGGGGTTTATAAAACTACTTCTGTCTTTCACCTGGAAAATTATATTGTGCAGAGGTGGCTTTCACTACATGAGAGATGACTGGCCCTACCTTTCAGATTCTGCAACTCATTAATATGAAATTATTCCGGCTGAGGCCACATTTGTCACCACATAGTTGTCTTTTTGACTACTCAACTCTTCTGCTTTAAGGGCAGGATATTTAATTATTCTAGAGAACGTAAATCCAAATAAATGCAAGAAATTGGTAACACTTTATTTGGAAGATTTTGTAAAGCTACTTTTTTATTGCAAAAGCTTCAGGTTTATCCTCTAACTTCACTCAACAGTTGGGATATGCTATGAAAGCAGAAATGTTACTGGAAGAGACAGGAAGGCTTTTTGAAGCAAACGGTTGACTCCACGTGACTTTCTAATGTGGTTGCCACGTACACATTGTGCTTTTGCAAGGTGTGGTTTTAACCACAGTGCATACATACTGGGAAGCTCAGAGCTCAAGTTACTGGGACAGTTTGTATCAATACCAAAAAAAACCCCAAACCACAATTGGGCTACATAGCCTCTCCTCTACTGAACAATTGTCATGTGACCACACTTTCTGCAGTTGTAAACCTCTTT